CAAAATCTTAAATCACTAACCGGAACACATGTAATAGACTGAAATTCATTCTGACAGAGTGGGCAAAGGTTCGTGATTGTGGCCCAATTGTCAATGCAACCAAAACAAAACCTGAAAAATTCCCAAACAAACCCAAGTGATCATCTTCACTGCGCATCATTCAGTGCAATTGCATAATCTAACAAAAAATTCAACCAAAGCTCAAAACCTTCATCTCTCTCTAGTAAAACGAAATTGCAAGAAAGAAGTTGAATTAATAATAATAAAACAACATGTACCAGTGATGGCAACAATCGAGAACGCCCCGGTCAATAACAATATCCATGCATATCCCACATCTTTCGCCCTCAAAATTATAATTATCCTGCAAATTATAAAAATGGAAATAATATTTATGTTATTGGCTAACAAAAATAATAATAATAAGCAGCAGCAGCAATTTTGACCGAAAAAACATCTAATTAGTGCTTCTAAACAGAAATTTCAGCACTCAAAACTAGAAAATCCGAAAAAAAAGGGCAAAAAAATTGATATTAAAATAAATCAGTGATATTAAATGAAACTTACATGAATATTCTCGTCAACTTCAAGAGGCAATTCTTCTTCTAATATTCCACTTGTAACAAAATCCACCTCCATTATCATAATAATCTCGATAATAATTAAAAAATCTAAAGAAAACACCAGAATTTAAAAAATTAAGACGCGATTAGAAATTAACAAGAATAATAAGCTAAGGGGACATGAATTAAAAGATTAGAAAACCTTACTTCGAAGATCAGTGAATAAGAATGAGTAATCGGAAGGGCAAAAAGGGAAATTAGAGAGGAGAGATCACCTGTGAGTGAGAATGAGAAAGCGCCATTAAAGAAGCAGGGGACAGACAGATTTTTATTTTATTCTTGTTTTTTTTTTTCACCCTTTGCAGGTTTCGCACAATTGAAATGCCAAAACGTTTTATTTTTTGGGTTCTGTTGACTTCTTTTGAATAGCAAAGCGAGCTATTTTATTCTGAGACCTAGTTTGGGCCTAATAGTTCAAAAGTGAGGTTTTGGGGTCCAGAATTAGAAAGTGGATTGATTATGTAGTAAGAGCCCTAAAATTACTATTACACTTGCACTTACACTTACATTACACTGTAAATTATATAAAAAAACACTAAAACAGAGCAAGAAATCCATGCGCACTATGGATTAAACAGTGTTTCTCATTGATAATTTTATTGATCTCCCAGGATATTTGGTTTGTGTGTGCAGTTGAGTTCTTGCAAACGTGGCTTGTTTGTTATCATAATTTTATTTTTTTTTCATTTTTGTGTTTTTGTCTCAAAATAGGGTGAGGGACAGACACCAACATACAATTTTCCTCTCATGTCGTCGATCTTCCCTTTCCACCAACGATCCTCAAACCGATCGCCAGCCCACATCGCCTCTCCGTGTTAGAAAAAGGGTGGGGATTTTTGCTTCGAGGATCGGTTGTCATCCAAGGAAGAAAGGTTTTTGATCTCTTCTTTGCTTTGCTTTTAGGCTTTTTTTCAGGGTCATTGGGCACAAATGAACTTTTTTTAAAAAAAGAAAACAGAATTGTCTTCTATGGTGTATGCCCTTTCGCTTACTGTTTTAATAGCCCAGATTTTACATGATGCATTATGATGAAGGAATACATGATTGACAGGAGCTAAAGGACAAAACAGCCATGAGCAGTAGATGAAAACTACTTTTCAACTCGAAAGCCTTGGGGAAATTTCTTGCATTCTTGCTGAAATAATGGGATGGTATATTATTATAAAATTATAATTGCAAAAGTTTGAAACTCGTCTCTTAAGAAGGAAAGATTTGGACTATACATTTGAAGTTCATTACCCAATAGAACCATTATACAGAATATTGTATTTCCAACAACCTGCAATGATGCTTGAATAATTGCTATCACAATAACATTTGTTCATTTTCATTCATGTGCACCTTTTTACATGGATTTTCTATAGTTTTTTTATTTTCTTTTCTAAACAAATATGGAGTATTTAGCAAAAAATGGATTTTTCAGGGGCAATATTCTTAAAGCATCGAAGAATTGGCTGGAGAGAAATATCCAAGTCATTGTTTTTACTGATGGTTGGGGATGTTGGTTGCCAGGTATTGATGCTCATAAATTTATTTACAAATTGGATGTGCATACCACTTCTTATCTCTTAACGAGTGGATCATCGTTAATTTGATTGATGCGATTGTTTTACATTTGTTAAGGAATGGGAATCCCAATAGGAAAACTCTCTCTATAGACAACATTAGGAGCATTACGTCCCTTTGCAGTAAGGTTTGACATATTCTAACCACTGGTATATTTGATTTTGATATTCTGTGTTTTTGGATGGATGAGTTTGGAAGCTTCTGGTTCCAGAGAAAAAGGGATAAATTTTCTATCAAATGTACAACAATTTCATTCACTCATTTTTTTTATATTATTTAGACACGCCTCAATTACTGTCTTACTAGAGTTATGAGTGGTCCCTTGCTGTTTAGTTACTAAAACCTTCCAATTGTATTCAATATATGCAGTGCTTGCCTGTAGCAATTGATTTTGGCACAAACAATGAGAAGTTGTTGAATGATGAGTTCTACATTAGGCTTGGACAAAAGAGGGTAACTTTATAGGTAGAGTAATTTTACTTTATTCCATTTCCAATCGACTGATATTTCTTCTTTTCTTTTCTAGATTTTAAATCATTCTACGTCTCGAGATTTTTGTTTTGTCATTTGTTGTGGTTTAAGAATATGCAGAGCTTCTATATGAGTTTAGGACTGCAGTTGAAAAGAACTATGGAGAAAAGTTCCTTACACAGGTGATGCACAACTGTTCTCTTTTATTCGTTCCGGGGAAGAAAACTGCATGCACAAACTTAATGGTCATATAAAAATCTTTCAAATAGAATAGGTGATATAGAGAAACATGTTGAAATGGCAAACCAATTAAAGCAATTAGTCGATGATATTAAGGAAATAGTGATTAGAATGAAATGATTTTGATGAGTCTGGGTTTGCAATAGATTAACCTGTCTGCTTTAAATCCTGCACTCTAGCTATTTGACAAATATGGTGAAAGAAACCTGCCTATTTTACTTGAAATGTTTTGCCTGGATCTCATGCTTGATTTTTGTTCAATTGTTCTTCAGCTCCTAGGATCCTTGCATTCAAGGTCTTTCCCCCCTTAACTCTTGCAGTCCACTTTTCTCCTTTGTTTTAAGATTTTTCTTTTTGTGGTCGAACTGATTAACTTATTGGTTCTTGACTAAATGGACTGTAGGCCAGGTGCATTATTTTAAAACTTGACAAGGATTAAACTGAAAAAAAATTATAGGAGCACTATTATTCTTGAGTGGTCTTATGGTGTTGCTAGTTGAACATGTTACGGAGCCAATGAGAATAAGTGACGCTAGTACAGATGAGGGGCTCAAAGGACAACCACAAAAGAACACAAATTAGAAAAAGAAAAAGAATTTAATGAGAGGAATATTGCAGTTAAAGTTGGCAGGGTGCATTTTGATTGGTTAAATTGTTGTGTTTGTCATTTCTTTCCACTTATATTTAGAAATAAGAGGTGTCTCAGGATCCAAGAATTCAGTTTCTTATGATGCCATGCCATGATGACTGGATGAATGCTCTCTCTTCTATTCTTATTCCTAAAAAAAGCTAATAATTTTCTCTTTGCGTAGGAAAGTCTATTGCCTCATAACTTTATTTCTGCAATCTGCAATTAGAACATAACATTACAACCCCTGTCAATGTCTTATTATGTTAGATTTCCCTATACATTTGGGATATTCGGAATATATGCTATCAATTGATCTTTGTTTGCTAGGTGCGAAAGCAAAGCTGACCAGATCAACATGGTTGATCTTGCGAGGAGGTCTCTTTTCTTGGACTAGAGAGGTAGATCACCTTGTCCTTGTGGCTCCGAGAAGATATAAAAATGACTTGGCTAATGGACTTCGAATATTTTATGCATCTGAACAACATATCCGGCTTTATTCTTGAAACGGATCCTTATTTTTCTACCATATGTACCTCTGCCAATGTTATGTAAACCTTTGGTCGTGACAGCATTTTTAAGTTGTAAAACAAGCGCGTTGGTTACATTGATGAAAGGTCAAATTTAACTAATTAAGCATCAGTGACTAAGAGAGTTAAGCATTACAAGGCAACATCTTAGGCCTTATTCAATGTGCAGTGCTGCTTTAAATGCTTGGTTTGTTGAGAAAACATGATGCAGAATGGAAATTAGGTCTGAGCTAATAAAATGAATCAATTACTATGAAGCCTTTGAGTGAATTCAGAAGCATTGATGCATTCATGAAGTTTTTCTGAGATGGTTTCCATGAAGTTCTTTCGAATAGTTCCACTTTATAATTGTAATGTTATAATCCAAGCATCTCTTCAGAATCCTGAGTAATCAAATGTTGTGCGACTTATGGTTAGTGGAGGATTCTCTGTATATTTATCAACATTGATTTGAGATGTTATTGGATTTGAAATCTGATGGTAAATTCCCAAGTTGATTTTGTGTGGAAGCTCTCGAGTAGAAAAATGAAGTAAAATTTTCCTATCAAGTATTTTTTTTTTATGTGAAAAAGGGGCTTGGAAACGGCTGCACATTCATTTTTTTTATATCAAAAAAATGTTTGATCTCACAGTAAAGCGCTTGTCAATCAATTAGATTTTAGAAATTAGTTGTTAAGATTTTACTTGCAAATAGAAATAATGGTGTCTGTAATTTTTGGAAGCTCAGAAAAAATTCCCCCCGTGATATAAGTTTGTTTAATTTAAAATTTAATTAGTAAATGTATATATATATTAATTTCTTAAATTAGTTTAAAATATATTTGATTTGGCATTTTTTAAATTCCATTAAAAGTTAGTTTTGTTTATTTTCAAATAAGATTATAGCAACCCATCATTCTTTTTAAAAGAAAATTCTTGGCTTTTTATTGAATATTTATTTTTATTATCATATAATTAATTAAAATTTAATTTTACAAAAGAAACAAAGAAATTGAACCAGTGAGATTTATGTATGATCTGAGGTGTGTATTTAACAGATCTTAATTTTTTTATTTGATTTTGAGTTTTTATTATGATTAAAATATATTTGATAGTTATAAATAAGATTTTAGAGGTTCAAATAATTTTTTTTGGTGGTGTTATGTTTATGTAGGGAGGGTGTTTAAAAAACAGGTTGGATTTCATATTTTTAGGGCGTAAAAACTTGGACCCTAATTTCCTTAATTTCCAAGTTATAAAACCACTTTCGGTGATTAAAAAAAATCAAATAAAAAAATTGCAAATAGATGATGTTTTGTTTGTTTAGACATACAATATGTTATATTTTTTGTTTTTAAAAAAATAAAAATGAATAACGTGTTAAAAAAAAAAGAAAAAAAAAGAAGCTAGACATGACCTTCAAACTCCAAGAACATGTGTTCTTTTAATTTTGGTTCAAGCGCACCAACTTATCCTTCCAACCCAATCGCGCCTGGTTTTTATTTTTAAAATAGCCTTTATCTTTTATTATTTTTATTTTATTATAAAATTATTTTGAAAATAAATTTATTAAACTGATGTTTGAATAATTATTCAATTATGTTATAAATTACAAATAATGTTAGAGATTTTTAACTACCTAAATGATTATTGTGAATCTAATATGTATATTTTTTTATAAAAATAATTGCTCATTAATATTCAATGCAAATAGTTGTGTTATGTTTTCTTTTCTTTCGCTTTTTTTAATTCGATTTATTTTCAATTGATTTCTTGAATTCCGAGATTATTTTCAATATTTTAAAAAATAAGGTTAGGTTTTCTAAAAGATTGGTGTGAAAAATAACTCCTCTTCTTTTAAACAACTGTAACGGTGGTCAGCAGATTCTTTCAATTAACAAAAACAAGGTGAAAACAGTTTTAGTACCTGTGTTAATTTAATGCCTTGCGGCCCACTAACACTGTAGCTTAAGCCCACAGTGCTGCACTCCCTCAGCCCAGTTTTAGTGACCCATCCATTTTGCTGACACCCACACTCTCTCACCCCATTAAAACTAGATTTTCTTCTTCTTCCTCGGCCATATTTGGCATTGCATTCACAATTCTTTTTGTACAAAATTTATTTATTTATTTATTTTTGTTTAAAATGAATTTTTAATTTTTTTATATGATTTTGATGTGTTGATATAAAAAATCAATTTAAAAAAATAAAAAATATTATTTTAATATGTTTATAAATTTTTTTGAAATATTTCAAATAAATTTTTTTTTTTTCAGAATTGTCATGTTTATTTTTTAAATTTAAAGTGAAATATATGTTTCTTGCACCTAATATGAATGTGTTTGCTTTTATAGTAGAAGCCATGTTTTATAAAATTTTAATTTTTTATATTTTTAAATTTTTTAATATGTTAATACTAAAAATAAATTTTATAAAATAAAACATATATATATATATATAAAAACCAATACCGCGTATCAAACACTAGATCAACAGGCACTTACTGTAGCAAACACCATGAGCTGGGCCCACTGTTACTGATATGAGGAAGAAATTAGGTACAGGCACCTACTTTAATTGCAATTCGATCCTCGAAGCTTACGTTGACTGTACTCTTAATATAGAGACTTGACTCAAAATGATAAAAAAAAGATATTATTGTTATTTATCTGGTATTTATAGACGAGCCTAGGAATACCATGATCCTTTATTTTTTAATGAAGTCACTGTTTTTTGATTGTCAACCTTTGAGGATGAACGTGGCCGTGCTGCAGGATATGTGGTGTGGCGGCGTGTGAGGTGGCGTTACAAGAGAAACAAACGTTGAATATATAGAATGCCCAATGCTCTTTTTTTCTTTTTTCAATTAAAGAAATGAAATTATTAGTGTTTTAAAAATGGAGGCAAACCGGAAAGATGGAGAAAGAGGAGGATGGCATTAATTAATATAAAAATACAATCCCAGCACAAATGAATAGCCAGAAGAAACAAGCTTCTGTGAATGCAGCAAGTGAAATTGTCAACTCCTTTTTTATTCTAGAAGCAGCAACTTCCTCCCCAGGTAAAGGTATCCAGCTCCCTGCACGGCAGTTCTTGTTAGTTTTTTCCCCTCTCTGGTCATTGCTACATATGTGTGTGGTTAAATGAAAGAGATGAATCTTGAGGGCATAAAACAATCTCAAGTTCGACCCTTTTTGTAAAGGGGCTTTCTTCATGTTTTTGCAGTGGAAATTGATTTAGAAAAAACGTTACCTTCAGTGATTTATAAGTATGGAATAGTTGTTGGAGGATAAAGCATCTTCTTCTTCTTTTTGTTTCCTCTCCCCCTTCGTATTTGTGTCCTACTTGTGCAGTTGCAGCAACACTAATAGTATCATTCAGCGACCTGTTTGTGTATGTTTTTTTCTTTCTTTTTCAAGGTCCAGTGCTTCACAATTGATGAACTTGAACAATTAAAAGGAATTGGTGCCCACAAGACCATTATTGGCACTGGGGTACTTTGTGTTTTGACTTCAAAAAATGTAATCTGCTCTTGATTTTGTTGTGATAGAGTTGATTTATCACTCAACCTTGACTTGTTTGGTAAGTTAGATCTGTTGTCCTAAATGCTTCTGACACTAGAAATCTGGATTTTCTGCATGTAAACATTAGCCAAAGAAAATGCTGAATTGATAAAAATAATGCATAGACGCTTAATTGTGAGTCGGAGTAAGAATTTTCTGATATCAAATGATAGCAAAGCCCGCACAAGTCATGCATGAATTAATTAAAATTTGTCCATTATCATACATATTTATTGACTCAAATCAAATGCTCCTAAAGATCAGATCAACCCAATTTGATGCTATTGTAACAAAAGAAAGTGATATTTTATTTTTGCAGCCTTTTCAATCCACTGTTATGTTGGAGAACATATTTTCCAGCCAAAAGCACAAGAAATTACCCCATTCAAACTAAAATTATGTCTTATTGATTCATATTTGGTTTTGATGTGGCAGGAAATTTATTATAAAATCCAGGATTTGCTGCATTTATTACATAGAGACTCATTGGGATCAACTGCGTATAACTGTGTATCAGAATTATGGATGCTTTCAAAGGCTGTTTTTGCTCGACAAAAACCAGTAAACTACCGAGGGATGAGGATCCTATCATACTTGCTTCTGAAACACCATGTAAGTAGAAGGTTCAAGTGCCTTTTTTGTCAAATTTGATCATCTTAAAATCTGATGGTTGAATATTGCATGTATCCCGTTGCACTGAATAGCAGGACAATTATGAATACCGTGGTCAACTAGATAAAATCTTACCATTCCATTTCATGGATTCCATCCTCCATTTGCTGCACTTGCGTGGAATGGTTGCAGCATGCATCCCATGTTGCCAATGTTCTTTCCTGGTTCCTTTCTAGCCCATTGCTTGCATTTTTTTCAGCACATAGTGTGGTTGTTTTGGCATGGCAGCAAGTTGGCCACGTTATCCTGCCATTGTCAAGTAACCATGTATCTTCACTTAGTTGAATACATTTATGCTGCTGGAGTTTTTTCATACATTTAATTGCCAGCTGTAGGGCATATGATTGATCACAACCTGTCGATTAACATGTCTAGGTGTTTGATTTTTATGTCACAGTTACTGTCAACGAAATAGAAGCTTTGCATGATCTATTCAAGAAGCTAAGCCGTACCATAGTTGATGATGATCTTATTCACAAGGTATCTCTATCCAAGTTCATTAAGCTGTAACTTTTTCTTGATGATGAGATAATTTTGATCGTTTTATTTGCACCGTCAAATTTATGGTTCATCAAGGCTGAAGGTTGATCACAGAGGACTTTTTAGCTTGTCATTGGATCGTGAAAGATCTTTATTGTATTTGCTAATTTATCTGTCATTTCTGAGCAGGAAGAATTTCAACTAGCGCTTTTCAGTAATAGCAGTAAGCAGAATATTTTCTCTGACAGGGTGCGCACTATTTCATTTTTTGTATTCTCAATATTGCGTTTTTAGTTTCCAGTTTGTAATCTTTTGATTTTCTGTGTTCAAATTGCTTTCATCTAAGACATGAGATCCTTGCTTTTAAGGAATTATATATTATCTAGGCAATCAGAGAGCTGCGTCAGTAATACCGACATCCTGAAGCATTCAATTTCTGATAATTTTGTAAATGTTGCATTTTTTGCCTGGTCATTGAAGAGTCCATTTGTCCTCGTGAGTAGAGTGAAAGTTATGAACCGGTCTATTCTGGCTTCATATTATTCATCATCATAGTACTCCAACTAGTTTTCAAGCCACTCTAATTTCATCAAGCAGATAATATACACAATGTGTTTGCCATGCCAACCTATTGCAGGTATTTGATCTTTTTGATGCCAAGCATAACGGGGTAATCAAATTTGGAGAGTTTGTTAGGTCATTAAGTGTGTTCCATCCAAATGCTTCTGAAGAGGATAAAATTACATGTATGATATAATACGTGTGGATTTGATCTTTTCTGTATAATTCTTGTTTTGATATGATAAGTAATTTATTTCTACAAAAAGTCATTTTAGCCTGTTAACTACGATTTTCACCACTAAAAGTTGGGAATAATCTCCTTTCAGTTGCATTCAGATTGTATGATCTACGACAAACTGGCTATATTGAGCGTGCTGAAGTAAGTACCCAGCAACTTTCCCCTTGCCCTCGTTAGCTTTTCAAGAGTATCATAAAATGTGCTTATAACTAGAATCATTGCATTGATCATTTGCTTTTTCATGATGATTTCTAATGGTTATGTCAGTGAAGCACAGTATATTCAACTGTGTGGGAAGTATCATGAAAGCATCCTTGGTATGCTTTGTTAAATTTACAGGGCTGTGATTTCTAATCTTATTTTCCTTTCTTTTTATTTGTTTTATAATTTTCGACTACTTCATGAATTTCTCTCATGCTGGAAGTTGAAGGAGATGGTACTGGCTATTCTGAGTGAATTGGATTCTACACTTACCAATGACGCTGTTGATTCTATTGTGGACAAGGTGTCAAAATCTTTCAACAGTTATGATTTTTCATATTTCGTTCAATCTCCTAGACATTGATCTCAGTAAATCATATTCTTCTAGACAATGATTGAAGCAGATTTAAATGGAGATGGCAGAATTGATCCAGAAGAGTGGAAGGACTTTGTAACTAAGAACCCATCTCTCCTGAAGAACATGACTCTTCCATATCTAAAGTGAGTCCTCAAGATCTCTACATCATCAGTTCAAGTTTGTTCGTGTGTTTCATGCTATACCATCATATAATCTGGATTTTAAGCTCCATTTGTCATTTCTCTCTCTCTCCAACTACTTTTTGAGACTTTTGAGTCCGAAAAGGTCATGAATCATCTTGACAGTGCTGAAGTACACATCTGGTTGTCTCATGAAGAATATATGTTCAACATTTCTCCTTCTATTTTATAGTGGCAGGAGCTTCCATATTTTGAATTCCTTTTGTTTTTAGCTTTCAAGTACATCACGATACTTCTCTATATCACCTCTTGGTTTCCATTTTTCAGGGAATTAACACTAGCATTTCCCAGCTTTGTACTCAATACCGAAGTGCCAGACTACAAATAACAGGATGGTATCAAATTCTATTCCCATAAGATGCGGTAAGCATTAACATGGAGATGCTGGAAGAACCTAGGCTGCTACAGAGACGCCCTTTAAGTGCACTGCATGCACAGTGTAATTATAGTCAAAAGTATTCCTTTTCTGCTACTTTTAACAAGAAGTTTTTGAGCTTCTAATAAGCAAGTTTGGAGGTTTGTATATTGATGGAACATGCGTGAGCTTGGCTGTTCCACATTGTCTAGAAACTAACCATGTGATTTATGAAAGACTGATAAGCCAATAAGACGGGATTTTAACAAATTTCCAGAGATCAATTCTTTGGTGTGGACCGTTTAAACTATACTGTTTTCCTTCTATCGTGTAAATGGGTTCCAAAATCAATGAAAAAGAGAGAGGTCTCCAAAATGCCATGAAATAAATATGCAATTAGAATAACATAGATTCCAGTAATATAATTTGGCTTTAGCGGGTTGAGAGCATTGATTCAAAAGAACTTGTATACTCCGAGGGACAAGTAAGCTGAACGATTCCTTTCTTGGCAGCTATTGATTCAAAAGAACTTGTATACTAGTAAGCTGAACGATTCCTTTCTTGGCAGCTTTCAAGCACAGAAAGAAGAACTAGAATCTTGACTCGAATGAAATAAAATATGACCATTATTTGTAAAGGAATGCCTAGTCAATTTCAACCAGGATTTTCTAGCCATTACACGCGCTCACCTGCTGGCACAAACTCCACACTGGTGGTATTATACCACAGATTTGTGGAGTCTAGAAGGGAGTATTGGAAGTTG